GAAATATATAGTTCAGCTGGAGAATGCCATAATATACATACAGTACATTTTTGCCACCTTCACTGCAAAAGACGATACATGGTTTTGTCTTGTGGTTATTCAGAACTAGAATTAAGGGTTTTCTTGCACGTCACCCTACGGAAAAGATACTGGATGGTAGAGCAAAGGGAGTAAGTCTGTGTTACAATTCACTGCCTATAAATTTCAAGGGGAGGAAGAGATATGATTAACACTTTGTTTCATTCTCTTCTCCCAAACTGCTATAAATGAGAAATGGCAGGACAAGGCAGAGGAAACAAACAAGTATGCAACGTTGAAATGAATGCCACATGCATGCATCCAAAAATGTAGGTTTCCAGGTTACCCAACAATGCAACAGAACAGGTACTGTCAATATCAACCAATTTAAAGGCATTTACAACCTGAGCCGAAGTATGTTTCTTCACAATCCAACTGTGGGGCTCACCCCAAATGAGTGCGATGGGTGTGATCTTCTAGTGCACAGAAATACAGCTGTTTCTGGGCTGAGGGCCACACTTGAACTTTGAGCGATGTGCAGCAGGCAGACATGTACAAACATAACGATGGGGAGAGGCAAGATAAAAATGAAATTTGACCCAATTTAAAACTTCCATTTAATTAAAATGGAAGTTGATGTTATTACACTCCAGTCAAACACTTAGTCATGTCCTTTTTCTGTCACTTTACAGCCGACGACTTGGTAACAACTGTTGGTGGTTTCTGAGGCTGCCTCCACAGTTTCTGGAGGCAAATTCCAGGTTGTGCACCTCTGCTCTAATTCTTAGAATGATTGGCCTGATCATTGTTAGGCATACTGTGTGAAACAGAAAGTCCCTCCATGCTTTAAGTTCACAGTAACTGGAAAGGCATAACTTATAATGGAAGCGTACCTTTACCAAGTGGAACACACTGACGTTGAAAAGTTCAAGAATTATCAGTTGTTTGCAGACTGATAGCTTGGCTGGAGTAAAGTAATTTAGTACATTTACTGTATCTGCTGGCCTTGTGTACATAGGCAGAGAACAGCCCCTCAAGGGCATCTGTGCTGCTTTTGGTGTGTTTTACACAGTGTAACAATGAAATAGGAATCCTGCTTCATTCCATGGTGCTGCTATAACATCAAAAGTCCCAGAGCTACCTGTGGGAAGGAAAGTAATCTGGCCCTTTACACGTGGCCAGCTGTCATCTTAGTCTTGGCCAGGAAAGTATCATAGGGTCTGGGGCAGGAGAGGCAGTGATCACTTATAAAACTACAGACAGGTATACAAAACCATTCAGCTTATGGAAATTAATTTTAAACACAACCATAACAAACCCCTGTCTTGACTGGCTCCCTACTGTTTGCAAAACAAAGCAAAAGCCATCAGACTCGTTCACATGAATAGAACCTGAAATGAGATATGCCTAAACTATTTCAGTAGGGTTTGAGCCATGGCACATAAAATTCAAAGCCTGCAGAATAGGCAACTGCTTCAAAACAAGGAGATAATGGGTCAGAAATGTTAAAAGCACCTCATCTTACTAAAAGCATATATTTAGATCTGTCCGATTGTGCCCCAGATTAAACAAAAGATTGCATTATTTTTATCTTTAGTTCCTGAAAACTAATTTTTATTGAGTGTCCAATACTACAATCCAGTCACCATTACTCTGTTTTCCCAAGACAGATACACCTATGGAAGTTTACACAGATGAGTAATACACAGAAAATTGTACAGATTTTTTAAACGTATTTATTATTAAATTTATAGTCAAAAAACAAGGAAACAAGATGGTACAAATTTTGACCCTTAGTTATTCTTGTTACTATTTTGCACGTGAAAATTTCAGCTAAGAGAACTTTGCCAGCACTTAAACCGAAAACCCCAAAATAAAGCATGTGTCTCCCAGTGTATGATTAGCTGGGGAGCGTGAAACCGATCTACGCTCAGCTGAAATTTACCAGGAATTTCTACAACATGAGGAGATAAGAAAATGCTCTACTACTTTATGCAGATTATATACACTTTGCAGACACCACTGCAAAAGGCAGCACCCATTTCTTTTGTGAAATTCTTGCTCCATATTCTGGAAAGAACACAAGCAGTTCTGCTTTACTCAATCAGCCCTCTCTAGGGGATATTACTAATGAACTGCCAACTTGCAGTCAGGAGCTGCATTGTCCAGGATGTGTAAAACATAGTAAGATACATTGCTTCCCGATACACTACCTTTACCAGGCTTTCAACATTTCCTGCTTAGTGATCACTGCAGAAGTATTAATCACAGAAAGATGATTCTCCAACAAGATACAAAAACGATGAGCTTGGAAAAAAGAAACTGGATAAATGTTTTGAAGATAATAGAATATATCAGCAAGATTTAGAGGTTTCCACTATTTAGCCAGTTTGATGTAAGGGTTAAGGCACCAGCTTAGAAACCAGGAGACAGTGCGTTCTAGTCCTGCCTGAGGCACAAAGCCAGCTGGGTGACCTTGGGCCAGTCCCCCTCTCTCAGCCCTAGTAAGCAATGGCAGACCATTTCCAAAATCTTGCCAAGAAAAGTGCAGGGACTTCTCCAGACAATAGTCAGGAGTCATCACTGACTTGAAGGGGTGGACAACCCCCCCCCAAACTATTTAGTTTATTCACTCCTGCATTTAGTTTATTCCCCTTAGTGGCATGACCACTAAAGCACTAGAAATTGTTTGTTTACCACAAAGGTATATAATGTGTGCCATTCCAAATACTGCTGAACTATGCCTCCCAGAATCCTTCACAACTGGCCACACTGTCTAGGGCTCCTAGAAGTTGTAATTTAACAACATCTGGAGTTCAACATATTTTCTGGTTTAACATGTGGTTCAATCCTGGGTTCTAATTTCTTTCTTTTCTCTTCAGATCAAAGTGTGAATGTTCCACTACATATAGAAATCTCTCCTTAACACTCAAAAAGATGCTATAGGAAGTAAACCATACAAGTTTTGATGTGCAAATATTGTCACCTATTTTTTGTGTTTGTTAACCCATGCAATGAACATATCAATGAACATGTTTCTAACAACACTTGGTGAATTGCTAGTTTATACATAAAAGTTCTGGGGTTGCATTTAGAGATCATCTGGATAACATTTGAAAAACAAGCTTTCTCAATATTCATGGATATATGAGTTGTTTTATATCTTAAGTTAATCTAACTTGCTTCTTAAATAAATAGGACCAGTCTTCTTATTTTTAAAATGTGATGAACAGAGTTCTAAAATTAAGGTAATTTAAGAAAAATACTTCTCCACAAAGGTTATACCCTGGGGATAACTGTTTTTCTCTGATATGCTGGTTTTCTGAATACAAGGAAGAAATACTTCTGAAATCTGAAACAGCCAGTTCAGCGCAGTACAGTAGTTAAGCTGTTTGTACTTGGACCAGAGAGACCAGAGTTCAGGTCTGCACTCAGCTGGGTACTTAGGGCCACTTTATCTCAGTCCTGAGCATGAAACTGAGCAAACTCAGGGAGGCAGTGAAGGACAGGAAGGCCTGGCGCGATATGGTTCATGGGGTCACGAAGAATCGAACACGACTTAACGACTTAACGACTTAAC